TCCAACCTAAATGATTTTATGATTCTATTCTCTGACTCTAAAAGACAGGAGTGAAGCTGTAGAATTCAGCTTCCTCCTCCTGCCAGGTTCTCCACCGCAGTGGCATGGCTGGTCCCACTGAGAAAAGCTTAATTTGTGTCCTTCTTGAGCTGGGCTGACTGTTCTGGGGTTGGAGTCATTTACACCTGGTGAGTCAGGGTCTTCTTTAGACGTTCAGCACAGTTCTGAAAGGCACTTGGACATGATTGTTCCTGTCAGTACCAGGGCTCTTGAAGAGGTCCCACAAGCCTGCCAAACCTTCAACCTGAGGATCATCTGCCCTGTAAAACGTGTCAGCAGACGTAGTCGTTCTGTCAGGGCATTTTACAACCCTGCAGTGGATGCCTAGCTCAGCGTGGTTTTTGTCTTCTCTCTCACAGCAATGATGAGCCTGACGTGTCGTCTGCCCGGCTGTTCTTCTGCCACTGCCAGCGGGCCACGGACCTGGCACAGCCCTGCAGGAGGACAGCCATGGGGCAGGCGCTGACAATGCTCAACATCCACAGGCACCTCAAGCTCATGGGGGCTCCTCTGGTGGTATGACTGGGGAAAAGGAGCCACTTGGGCTGTGGGCACGAGGGAAGCTGGGGTGGATGTGAGGATGAGGAAGGTGTGAGCAGAGGGTGAGAATCTGCCGCTTTCCTGTAAAGTTAATGACAAAGCTCACAGGTTGGATCCAAGCTGAAACAGGCTTGGTGCTTGATGGAATGACACTCCGTCACACTGCTCAGCTTGCCTAGACCTTTCCAGGGAGCCCTGGCACCAATGCATGCTCCTCTAGTTGTCACCATGAGTGGGAACGGGGTGGAGGCAACCCTTGGTCTTTGCTGGAACATATAGGATAGTGTAGGGTAGAATAGAATAGAATAGAATAGAATAGAATAGAATAGAATAGAATAGAATAGAATAGAATATTTCCGTTGGAAAGGACCTACAACGATCACCTAGTCCAACTGTCTGACCACTTCAGGGCTGACCAAAAGTTAAAGCATGTTGTTAAGGGCGTTGTCCAAGTGCCTCTTAAACCCTGACAGGCTTGGGGCACCAACCACCTCTATATGAAGCTTGTTCCAGTGTTTGACCACCCTCTTAATAAAGAAATGCTTCCTAATGCCCAGTCTAAACCTCCCCTGGTGCATCTGTGAACCATTCTCATGCGTCCTGACCCTGGTTACCAGGGAGATCAGCACCTCCATCTCCACGTTCCCTCCTCAGAAATCCGTGGAGGGCAATGAGGTTGCCTTTCAGCCTCGTTTTCACCAAACTAGACAGACCCAAAGTCCTCAGCTGCTTCTCTAGGTTTGTCACAGAAGGCTCAGCACCCTGGGGAGTCTGATATCAGTCATTAATGCCTTGGTGAGCACAAGGGACAGGAGGCTCCCTCCTATCTCCTCTTCCCATGGGGCAGTGAACTTCAGTAGGCCTCCAGTTCCCACTGGTGACATCTCTGCCCAGCCAAAAGGACCAGTAGATGAGCTGAGAAGTGCAGAGCTGAGAAGTGCTCTCTTCAGCCAACCTCCAGGGTTAGGTCCATAGAGGGAAGGCACTTTGCTAAGCAGCTCCGAGCTGTCGTGAAGCAGCATGTCCAGGGCAGGAAGGGAGAGGATGCCAGCTCTTGCATGTTGCGGCCGGGGTTTTCAAACTGCTCTGGGGAATGGATGCCAGGTAAATAAAAATTAATGGAGATTCAACATCTGGAGCTGCTAAGTCACAAAGAACATGCATAATGAAGCCCAGGTTTTTAACAGGGAGGGTCATGACAGGTTGGAACAGTTTAACTGAGGCTGTGTGGGTTCTGCTTTGATGGATGTTTTGGAATTGGGGTTGGAGGCTCTTTCTCGAGGGTATCTTTATTTCTGTGGCCGGGGAACACCTGGTGGCTTGGGCTGTGCAGGAGAAGAGCTGGGATACCTTCAACGGTCTGGAGACGTGCTGCAGTATAACTGTGTCTCTTCTCCAGACAGAGGTTGCTGAGGACCCAGAGAAGGTTTCCACCGTTCACTTGCAGCTTGGGCTACCACTTGTGTTCATCCTCAGCCAGAAGGAGACCTATGAGGCTGACAAGAGGACAGCAGAGTTTGTGGCCTGGCAGCTTTTGGGGAAAGCAGGAGTTGCCCTTTTGTCCAGGTATTTGCTCGCAGGTGTTTTGGGGTTCTCCTTGCTTTTTGTGGTGTTTCTGACCTCGGTTACCCTGGATTATATCCTGCAGGAGAATTTCACATTTATGGACTTGTCCAGAATCGGATTAGTTTGGTTTCAGACTGGCTAGAAGTATAGAATTTTTCGAGTCTCTTGCTGACTTAGAAGTTGAAAAGCAGTCAGACTAAGAGAGATTTTGGAAAGGAAACCTAGCACAGATGGAAGGCTTGTATCTTACCCTTGCATTAAGGGCAGAAGATCCAGTACAGGAGGTGGACTATGAGTGCTGGGACATGGCAGGGGTGTCCGTTCAATAAGCGCTGTCTCCTCAGTCAACAAGGGCTCTCCAAGTTAGACCATCACACCTGTTCCCCAGGAGGACAGGAGACACGCTCGTGGTTGGACATAGGGCAGCTGTGCTGTGGAGACCTGTTGACTTCCTCTGCAGTTGACCACCAGTTGCTTATCTCGGCTCCATAGGCTCTGGAGCAGCCTACGTACACCAGGCTGGCTTGTGGTTGCAAACACTTCTCCTATGTCTTCCCAAAGGAGGTGTGCAGCCCCTGTAGGCATGGTTGCACGGCCTTTGGGGATGTCTGCTGACAGCCGTGCAAATGGGAGGAGATGGAGGAAGGGTGAGAGTGGGCTGTCTTCTTCCAGCTTTCTACTGCTGTGGTACCTCCCTCTCTGGAGGCACTTGGCTGCATTTACTCATGAGCTGAAGTCCACGAGCAGAGCAGCTGCACTGGGATGTGGCTACCAGTGTGTGAGCAAAGACCTGAATCACAGGAAGGGAGTCCAAGCCCCTTGCGAAGTAGGGTGCAGTCCCACCAGGAGGTCACTTGGAGCCTATTTCTCCACCACTGGCATTGATTCTGGGTTCCTTCAAGTTCTTGGAGGCCCTGAAGCACAACTCCATGGTGCTGCTCAGAGAGGTGGGCTTGCCCAAGGAGGGGGTGACCGTGCACATCACACCATCTAATGTTCACTTTGTGTTTTGGAAGGGACCTCGTAGATTTGAACGTTCTGCTCCGGTCAAACGTCGCTCTCAAGACCCCAGATGAGGTTAGGTGCTGGATTTCTTTATTGTACAACTCTTATTTCCCTGGCTGGGCACGGTGCTCTTGAGACGTGTTGTGGTGTTGCTCAGCTCCGTTATTATTTGACAGCCTTCCCAGAAGCTCACAGGGAAGTGTCTTTCCTTTGCACGCATGTATTTGGTTCTGCCTGACTTTGGTGCTGCAGAGCAATTATGCCTGCTTACAGGAGACAAAAAAAGGGTTTATTTTGGGTTCAAAACATAGAGTGACATCTCCATTACACCTTCAGGCAACACAAGGTTGTGAACTACCTAAGGTAGTAACCCAAGTGCAAATTCCCCAGAGATCTGGACTTCTAAAGGCCCTTGCCCCCTTAGGAAAGGTGTTCAAAAAATGGGAGAGGAAATAAGTGTGAAACTAAGAGCAAACTTCCAAAGATGTGTGCTGAACTGATGTAACCAAATGCCTCTGGCAGTGATCTGGGGAAAGGGCAGGGTGTAAGTTAAATGAGGTTGATCAAGATGAGTTAAACTCCGGAGGGACCTGACCCAGCTTGCGAGGCAAGATGGAATTCGGCGCCGACGGATGCCAGGGAGCACACGTTGGCCCAGATTACCTGAGCTGTCACACTTGTGATTGCAAAGATACAGGATCAGACCTGAACCTCAGCATCCCCTGAGGCCTTCCCATGCCCTGGTGAGAGATGTGCATGTTGTGTTTCTCCTCCTGGCGCGAACGGGAGGTGCCAGCAGTTTGTCATTTCTCTCAGTTCACTTTAAAATTCGTTTTCTCTGAAGTGGCTTTCGCTGAGACAGTGCCAGAACTGGTTTTAAGCTGACAGGGGCTCATTTCTGAGAAATACATTTTGCTTTTTTCTTTCCGTGGGTTGGCAGCCCGTGTACGCTTGGGAGCACTCTTCTCTGTTGAGCTCCATAAGATAAAGGATTTTTTGGTGCCAGTTTCCCAGGCTGTGATGGGCTGCTCTGACCCAGCCTGGCCCCATTGGAGGAGGGAGATCCAAGTGGACCCTGCACCTCCCCGTTCTCCTTTGCTATTTGGCCACTGGGCTTTTTCTTGAAGCGGTGGATCTCTGTTAAGATGCTGGGAGGTGGAGCGAGTGTTCACTCTCACCACTCTCAGCACAGGATCCCACGTAGCCATGATTACCTGCTGGCAAGGAAACGTCAGTCTGGAGTGAGAAAAACTCACACGCCAAATGAGAATGGTGAAATTTGGCCAAAGAAACACATGCCAGATGCTCCCCTGGTTGGCAGCTTTAGGAATCTGTTGACATACCCCAAAAATAAGGAGTTGGGTGATGGTGCCTCATCAGCCTTGAGTTTGGTTTGCGGACGGAATAGGCAGAGAGTGATGTTCTGCTCCCACTGATTTATTCTGTTTTCCTTAGGGAGTGCCAATCAAATACCTGGCCTTGGAAGACACTGATGAAGTTATAACCCTGGTGGAAGATAAGAGCAAGGTCGGACAAGTCCAGGAGGGTGAGGAGGAGGAGGAGGAGGAGGAAGATGAGGATGAAAAAGAGAGTAACAATCAAGGTGTGCAACTAATGAAGAGCTGATTGTCATCAGATAGGACATGCAATCAGCATCTGCTAGAGACGTGCAGGCGTACGTTGAAGCATTAGAGAACACTTACAAATCCGAGGCAAACCATCACGGTCGCATCACGGTTGTGCAAAGGGGCTCTTTCATTCTCTGCAGATCCCTGGAGTTTCATGAGAGACAGGCATCATTTTTAGGGGAAACACCAGGGAGAAAAATCAGCAGCTGTTAGAGGAGCAGTCGCAGAGGTGCTGCAGGAGGGACAGGGGTGCTTCTGCTTGGATGCATCCAGCTGCAGGGGCACGAGGGGTTTGAAGTGCACCCAGTGCTGTCTCCTCTTCAGACATCAGACAAGGAGCCTCAGAATTATCGGTCCCCTTGGAAAGGTTTGAGACATGTTTTTGTGAGAGCTGTTCCAGACTTGCCTTCCCCAGGGAGAAAGCACTGGCCCCTGCAGTGCTTCCTTACAAATGCGTTTGTTTTCCTTACGAAATTGGTTTTGTTTCCCGGAAGAAGTGGCGCAGGATCCTAGAGGAGCTGACGCAGTTAAAGAATAGCGTTCAGATCGGAGGGCACAACTGGTGCGGGCTGGCAGACGGGCATTTCAGTGAGTTTGTGTGTCTGTCAGTGAGTGTGTCTGTGCCTTTGCCTCCACATCTCCATACCAGGCAGTTACTTACCCCCCTGCCACGGTCACCGTGTCTCTGCTGAGAGGCGCTGGCTCACGAAAACGTGCCGATGGGGTGGCAGATGGGGCTGCAGTTCGCTCTGCCCTGTGGCTGTGTTCCTGTGTTCATCCTCGGCTCTGGGTCCCTTGCAGATGTTCAGGACGATCAGGTGGTGGAAGCAGTTTCCAGGGACAAGAAGCGGGAGCTGCCCCTGGAGCAGATTCTTGCCCTGACAGAGGAGACCTTCGACTCTGCCCTCTTGGAGACTGCCCGGACAGTGGTGCTGTTTTATGCCAGCTGTGAGTATGAAATGTGGCCCAGCAGTGTCTTCTCTAAGCTTGTGCTGCTCACCATGCTTTCCATGCCATGGTGATCCTGTAGACAAGTTTTAACAATAAGTAGGTGCCGCATCCTACCCTGCTTTTGTGAGACATCCCCCTGCAGTGCTGCATTCAGCTCTGGGCCCTCCAACATCAGAAGGACATGGATCTGTTGTAGCGGGTCCAGAAGAGGCCACAAAGATGATCTGAGGGCTGGAGCACCTCTGCTATGGAGACAGGCTGAGAGAGTTGGGGTTGTTCAGCCTGGAGAGAAGAAGGCTTCGGGGATACCTTCCAGCAGCCTTCCAGTACCTAAAGGGGCTACAAGAAAGCTGGAGAGGGGCTTTGGACAAGGATGTGATGGCTTTAAACTGAAAGAGGGGAGATTTAGATTAGATCTAAGGAAGAAATTTTTCACTCTGAGGGTGGTGAGGTACTGGAACAGGTTGCCCAGAGAAGTTGTGGCTGCCCCATTCCTGGAAGTGTTCAAGGCCAGGTTGGATGAGGCTTTGAGCAACCTGGTCTAGTGAAAGGTGTCCCTGCCCATGGCAGGGGAGTTGGAACTGGATGATCTGGAAGGTCCCTTCCAACCCAAACCATTCTATCATTCTGTAATCTGCCCCATCTGCCTCCACCCACCGTTAGCAATCAAAGTCCGATTTTCCCTGTTCCTTTCAAGTCTTTCAGAGCTTGAAGCACCTTAGAATGCAGAGAATCGTGACGTGACATTGTCAGAGGGTGAGGTGGGCTGGTCTGTCACCTGTATGTCCCTCAGAGCTGTCTCTTTCCTGTGTTTCAGGGGAGGCAGTGTCCCTGGCAGTGCTGCGGTCTTACACCGAGGTGGCCGATCACCTGAAAGGTAAGGTGCCACAGGTCCGAGTGCTTTCAAGCTGGCATGCACCTGCCCTGGCACAGCGACAGCGTGAGGGATGATGGTGGTGATGGTGATGATGATGTTGGTGGGCACAGTGACAGTGTAATGGGTGATGGTGGTGGTGGTGATGATGGTGATGTTGGTGAGCATGGTGACTGCGTGATGAATGATGAGGATGATGATGGTGATGTTGATGAGCACAGTGACTGTGTGGTGCGTGATAGTGATGATGGTGATGGTGATGTTGGTGGGCACAGTGACTGCGTGATGAATGCCCAGGAGCATGGTGGGGCCAGGACAGAGCACCAGTGGCAGTGGGTGACACAGGGTGGGCTTTGGACCAGGGAGAGGCAAACAGCAGGCACTGTAGCCTGCATCATGGAGATGGGGTCCTGTTTGTGCACCTTGGTGCTAGGTCCTGCACAGAGCAAGGAGACACACTACATGCTGCACAGCAAATCAGTGTGCTGGGTGCCACATCAGGTCTCTTGTCCTTGGAAGTACTTGATCTGGAAAGGCGCGGTAATTGGCCTTGGCTTTGGTGGAAAGCGTGACAGGCAGGTGTGGACAAGCTCAGATCCACCAAGGCAGGAGGGTGTCAGAGGAAGAATTTACAATGATGGTGCCTTCAGGGCCTGGAGACTGGCTTAATTACATGGAAAGTCTCACAGGCAGCCACAGAACTCCATAAATAACACGTGATGATGAGGAATCAGCAACACTTAAAGAGAGCACACACCAACCAGGTAGTCTGGTAGTAAAGACAGGAGGGACTGGTCCTTCAAGAAGGTCTGTGATATTTCCTGAGCAGTGTAATCCCCAATTCACCTTCATTCAGGGCTTCAGCCCCATCCCTCTCTACAGTCAGTGGAGAGAGGTGGATTCTTCTGCACGTCCATTGAGGAACCTGGTGTAGTGGAAGGTGTCTCTGCCCATGGCAGGAGGGTTGGAACTAGATGATCTTGAAGGTCCTTTCCAACCCAAACCATTCTATGATTCTATGATCCATCATGCTTACATGGGCTGAATCTCTTCCATAGATGCCTCTTTCTCCCCCTTGCTGCAGGGGACCCTCAGGTGGCTTCATCACCAACTATTCGCAGCACACTGGGGAAGTCGCGTGGATTTAGACCAGAGCTGTTCTGATGCCTCTGGAGGAGGCTGATGCCTTCTCTTGGTTTTTCTTCTTCATCAGGGCTCATTTCTCTTAGTGATGGCACTCCACTGGGACTGGGCACCATGTCCTGCAGGGTGCAAGCTGGATTCAGGCCAAGCTCTCAGCAGTGGGGACATGTGTAGAGTCTGCAGAGGACCCAGCCAGCTTTCTGGGAAGAAATGCAGTGGGAATTGCTTACAAGAAATCCCTCTGGGAACGCTGCAGACAGTGCTGTGGTTTGGATGAAAGCGGTTCTGCATTTGTAATTTGCATGAAGGGGAAGTCACCAGCAGCTTTGATCTGGACCGAAATCCTAGGAATAAACAGGAAAGTTCAGGGAGGGCTGTTGTTGTTAGAGATGTTATGGATGTTGATGGTTTGGAGTTTTTTTTTAGACTCCCCAGCAGTCAGACCAGCTAGAGGAGCAACCTGGGAGAGTCAGTGGATGAAACCCTGCCTCTTCCCAAGCCAGTGGCCAAACCTTGGCTGATTCTGCGCGGCCGGGCTTTCGCCATGTGTTTTTTGAATCATTTGATAACGATCTCGGTACATGGAAGCAGCCACAGGCAGATTCTCAACAGAGATTATGAACTGATTGAGGTCAGGGCCTTTCCTCTGTGATCAGTGAGGTCCCACCAAAGACTCCCAGGCCAGATGTGACCTGTGGAATGACTCCAGTCTGCTTTCCCTGCCGTGACCTCGGAGACGACGGAGAACGGCTGCGTTAGTGGATCTGGAGATCCTTTGTTTCTGCTGCTGAGGGAGTCTCACTCACAGGTGGGCTACTGGGGGAGCTGGAAGACCTAAAAGGATGAAGGTCCCTGGGCTCTCAGTTATGACCAGGATGAGGGAAGACGCAGCAGTGCAATGGACAGAAGTCTGGATCAGGAAGAAGATCTTGAGCTATGTAAAGAATAGCTCTTCTCAAGAGAAGATCTTGAGCTATTTATTGAGAATCAAACATGGGGTATGGCTTTGGGGCAGTCTCTCCAGAAGTGCTAGTATTCCTGCCTGCACTCTGGGGTGGAGCTTTCTTGCTAAGGGCTGGGAAGCCAAGACCAGCTGTCTGAGGCATGAATCACCCGCTCTAGAGGCACATTTTGAGTTGCAGAACCAGGTCCTGCTTTCGAGGCCAATTCTTTGTGCAAAATGGCACTGAGAATGGGTCGTATGAGATTGAGCGCAAGGGAATGGCGAAGGTTGGAGACTGGAATGACTCTGTGAGTCATCCAGCAACAGATGTTCAGCAGATCATCACAAAATTAAATTTACAGCCCCCCTCCAAGTGTTTTCCCTTTGTTGAGAGATCCGATCTAGCAAGAGATGAAGGGAAGCATCCCTGCCTCGCTGAACTGTATGGCATCCAATTATTATTACCCAGCTGGCTTGAATTGAATATAATTAACTAATTAACTAAGGTACAGACCCTGCCTACAAAAGGCAGGCCATTTCCTCCTGACTGTGGAAGATGCAATGGCATCCTTGGAGCTGTAGCCCAGGCTGGTGAGCAACAACTGGTGACCCTGATGCGATACATCCAAAGAGACCCTGAGGACCCTGACTCCAGAGCCTGAGCTGGGAGCCAAAGGAGCTGGAGCAAGAGTCCTTTGGTGAAGAAGGTAAAGCCCCAAGCCCTGATGTGATATTTGTGGGAGGGAAGTGTGCTGGAGTTGGAATGAATGGACCGGGTCTCTGTTCACTGTAAAGCCTTCTTGAAAACACCTTTGAAAACAAAAAAATGTAAAACAAAAAGAGGGAATTATGGCATCCAATTATTATTACCCAGCTGGCTTGAATTGAATATAATTAACTAATTAACTAAGGTACAGACCCTGCCTACAAAAGGCAGGCCATTTCCTCCTGGCTGTGGAAGATGCAACGGCATCCTTGGAGCTGCAGCCCAGGCTGGTGAGCAACAGAACTGGGCATGTTTTCTGCTCTTACTGCAAGAGCATGCTGTTCTCACTGCCACTGGGGCTGACTGCTGCAGCTCTTGTTTTCTTCTGCAAGATGGGAATGTATGGAAGCAGCACCCCTGGGACAGAAGAAGAGGATGTGAAGGAGAGACAGTGCTGAGCGTTTCTTAGGAGTGCCATTGACCTTTTTTGCAAAGAAGAGAAGAAACCAGTATCTAAGAAGAGCAATATACTGTGATGAAAAACACTTCTGCTTCCTTCTTCTGCGCTTGTGGAGTCTTCTTGACTGATGACTTCCAAAGATGGAGGTCTGAAGTTGTAGTTCAAAGGCATGAAAATCACCTGTGTGAGCTAGCAATGTATACATGAAACCTAAATCTGAAGGAAGGATTTAGGAGTCCATTGTGTGGTGCTGGCTGGGTAGTCATTTCCCATTCCGTGCTGGATTCCTCCTCTTGAAGTGCAGCACTTCATACATAACTTACTTCTCTCTCATGTTGTAGTCTTTGGACCAGCTCTTCAAGTGAGCTGTTTCTAATGCCAGTCCTGCCCTCCAAAGGATTAGAAGCTTCAAAGATGCTTGATTTTTTTCATGTTCCCGATAGCACTGATGATTTGTCTTTTCCTGGTTTTATAAGACCTCCTAGGACAGAGGTTCTCACTGTTGCTGGTTTTAGTAGCACCTAAAATCACAAAACAGTAGGATCTTGTTTTCCTCTTCCACCTTTCTTCCCATCTAGCAGCTCAACAGTGACCATAGGGCTGAACAGTCTGTTGCTGAGTTACTCAACTGAAACTGCTGCTCGTTCAGTAATTAATAATGTGGTGCAGTTTGGGATGGGAGAGTGATCGTCCTGTCCAAGGTGTTCCTCAGGCCAGATGGGGCTCCTTTGGAGCACTTTTGGTACGTAATCCCCCAAGGTAGTATCCAAATACTGAAATTTGTATTTGAGGGACCTTAGAGCAGGGTTGCAACTGTATTTTACCAGGACATCAAAGCCCTATTTCGATGTCATTATTTTTCAGCGTTGGGCAAGACACAAGGTTATGTGGTAACAGATGATGAGAACCAGCTATACTGGATCAGAGGTGTGAAATAAATCCTTTCACACCTCTTTTAATTTGAGATGTTATTTCAGAGCCTGGAGAATGACACAAACCATTTCTGCTCTCGTGGAGTGTTTTGACAGCTCCTGACTGTCTGGAGTGGAATTGCAGACCCTTAGCTCTGTGCTGCCGCTTGCTTTTTCGGTACGTGAGTTTGACGCAAGGCAGAACAGCAGCAAACTGCTCGTCTGAGCTGCAAAGCAGAGCCTCAAATGAGAGTTGCAGAAAATGGTCCAGTGGGATGCCAAGGATATAGGGATAGGGGATAGGAACCCATGCTAAGGTCCCCTCTGCTTTCACTCTTGCCTGTGGAGATGCCTTGCCCATCCCTAGCAGGCATGTTTCTAACTGGTGATTAAAGCCCTTCCGCAGCTTCTCTGCCAAAAACACCCAGCTGTGCTTGGTTCTCAGTAGCTTGTTTTAATATTTGGTCAAACCTCCCTGCCTGAGGATGGGTTGTTGCTTGTCCTTGCCCAGCTGGCAACAGAGTGATCTCACCTCCAGAGCAGACTTTACATATTGTTAGATTTTATTGTTTCTTTCTTCCAGGCGATTTCCAATCAAAAGAAACACAATTCTTTAGGTTTTTCCTCAAGAGGCATGTCTTGCAAACTTCTCAAACTTCAGGAGGGCCTGTTGTGATAGGACAAGGGGTAATGGTTTTAAAATAGAGGGAGGTAGATTCAGATTGGATATTAGGAAAAAATTTTTTACCATGAGAGTTGTAGAACAGTGGAACAGGTTGCCCAGAGAGGTGGTGGATGCTCCATCCCTGGAGACATTCAAGGCCAGGTTGGACGAGGCCCTGAGCAACCTGCTCTAGTTGGAGATATCCCTGTTCCTTGCAGAGGGGTTGGACTAGATGACCTTTGAAGGTCCCTTCCAGCCCTAACCATTCTATGATTCTCCAGCTTCTCTATCATCTGCTTAAGCCTTTCCAAAGACATGTTTCCCATCCCATGCTCACCGGGACAGAAGAGCATCATTTTCCTCCCGTGTCTTGCAGATGCTGTTGAGACTTCATCCCAGAATGAGGTTTGCCCTTTTCTGCAGCCCTGGTGGTATCTGTGCATGCTGCTGCTTGTTACAGAACGCTGCTGCTGTTACACTTTGTCCTTCAAATCCCTTTCTGCCCCTCTGGGCTTGGGATCATTTGCAGATTGGATGTGTGTGTTTTATTCCATCAGCCAGGCTTTTAATGAAAACAATGATCAGAATCAAACCCAGGACAGACAGAGAAGAAAGTTTGGCTGGTTTTATCTGCCATACTGTTGAGAAATCCTCTTCATCTGCCCTGACCCTGGTTTCTGAAGGGCACTTTGTGATGGTCTGCCTACATGTGTGTACTTGTCTCTAGGTTTCATCCCATCTTTCCCATGTAACTATTGAATCCTGTTCAAACAAACT